CAGGATTAAAGGAAAAAAAGAGTATTGGCAGCAGGACTTTTAAAGCCTGTTTTCATGGCAGTCAAAAGATCTCTACGTGCATTCCGCACACATCTCATCAAAAGTCTCTCTCGTGCTTTCTGAAGCAAAACAGAACTAAAAAAATTGTTTTCTTGTGATTTTGTCAACTGGGGATTAGCAGCATGCCAGAAGAAGTTGCAGGCGTGTTGTCATTAGCTGCGATGGTCCAAATGAAGCAAGGAAAACGCAGTATCTGCACCAGAGCAGCTGACATAACGGGGGAGAGAAGCCAAACTCCTTTGAGAGCGAGAAGAAATAAACAGCTGTTAACTTGTGATCCCTCTGATTCATGCCTGTAACACGCCCCAAAACATCCCAGCAGCAGCAGACTGACTCGCTGCTTCTCATCTATACCAAGGATGATGTTGAACACCTGGAAGCTGTTCGCTCAGCCTACGTAGACATAAATACAACGTTCAACTGTATATATGGGATGAAATGGCAGCTGACCGTCCACGCCACAGTTTCCCAGTGATGGGGGGTGCCAGAGGCAGCCCCACAACTGTGGTGGTGGCTGGAGGAGCTGGAAAACCAGGGTCCAGCACATGCCAGTGCTGGAGGTGCAGGCAGCCAGGGTGCCTCTGCCGAGGCTCTTTGGCTGGAAGCACTGTAGCGTTCTTGTCCAAGTCATTTGACTTTCATGAGTCAGAGCAGATTACACAAAAACATCCTGCGAGGAGGGAGCGGAGGATGAATTCCAGACACTGACCTTAGACAACAAACAAAACCCACTTTTTTTTCCCTTGTTTTAGGGAAGAAGGGGAGGGGAGCTCTTCCACCTTGGATGGGATGCAGGCTGTGGATCAGGCTGGAACTTGGCATCATCAGCCATTAATTTCTGGTGTAGTAAAAAAGATACTTTGTACTGCCAAAAGGCTTTGGGTTCACCCCCCAGAGGCGGCCAAAGATCCTTTTACTCCTCCAGACCTCATGTTTGTGCTGTGACTGCCTTCCCCACCAACCCTGCTGCACAGAGGTGGCTTTCCAGGCTGAGCAGCACGACCGAGAGCTGTAGCG